AGGAGAAGGGGGCTTTTATTTTTATTGGAGTATTGTGTATGGTAAATGTGGCAGCTGCTCTGAAACACCTAACATTAAAAAGGTATAATTTGCACACTTGAGTATAATTTTCTCATTTGATATTTCAGGTCAGTTCTGCTTAAAATGGAAACTTGTTAATATATTTGATTTCATTGACTACTCTGGATGGATTTAGTTCTTACAGGAGTTAAATATTACCAGGTATCCTGAAAAAAAAAAAAAGACATTTTAAAAATATCTTTAAATTTGGAAATGTAGGTATTACACTTTTTAAAATCTAGAAAACAGCTTGCCAAGGACAGTTAAATTCAACTGTTTGTAGATATAAAGTTAGTGTTATCTCTTACCCAAACTGTAGTTAGAGGGACTTTGGCAGGATGTTCCAAAAGTGCTTGGCATGTTGACATAACTTGGCTTCCCAGAGGAGGGCTACACACATAATCTTAACACATTGTTATTCCAGTACCATGGAGCAAATCCTTAACAAGGAGGAATTCATTGGCTCTTAGCAGGCCAAAGGACAGGTCACTGAGGGTTCAAACTGGATTTGCCAGTTTGGTTCACACCTGGCTCTTTTGCTTGCTAGCTTAGTGGCCTGGGGTCAAGAAACTTATCTCTGCCGTCCAGTGCTCTGGCTGCAATTTAGACTTATGTGAAGAACTTGGTACTGTATTGGTAGATAACTACTTTTAGTAAGTTATTTTTTAGAACTGTATTGGTAAATGAATAGTTTTAATAAGTTATTTTGCCGGGCGGTGGTGGCTCACACCTTTAATCACAGCACTCGGGAGGCAGAGCCAGGTGGATCTCTGTGAGTTCGAGGCCAGCCTGGTCTACCAAGTGAGTTCCAGGAAAGGCGCAAAGCTACACAGAGAAACCCTGTCTCAAAAAACCAAAAAAGTTATTTTAAGAGTGTAAAAACTCACACATGTTAATTAAATGCTTTTTTTCCATTTAAGTTAGTGACACAGAAAAGGCAATCTATTATTTTTCAGTGGAAAATATTATAATGACCATTATATTATTAATTCAGGCATAAAACCACACCAGGCTTTTGAGATCTTCCAGACCCTTTGCCTTATAATGATATTCTGTGGCTAGAGTTCTCTCTCATCAGTTTACAAATGGAGCAGGGCAAGTTGCCTAATTTTAGTTCAGGGCTATGCTGGAGTCCGATGGTGGACTCAGCTCACACTGAAAGTTGGATTCTAATTTCACAAATCTACGTTTCTCCTCACAATCACAAGGACCCCGACAGAGAAGCTAATAACACAGGAAGCCTTAGCTAAGCCACATAAATGAAGTTTATCACTCAGCAGCCCTGGGTATGCTTAATACATTTCACATGTAAACACAGGAGCTTGAGGAGTAGAATAGATCATGGAAGTTTATGCAGTGGAGAAGGCTCAGAGACCCAGTACAAACCCACAAAACCTGGCTCTCGTTCCTGTAGAAGAATACTGGGAGACTCAAAATCCAAAAAGGAAGCCAGGGTCAGAGTCAGATGGCTTTCCATATCAGAGGAACTTGGGTTCTTTTTCTGAAGGTAGTTCTTAGGCAAACACAAGGGTGAGGATAACAAGGGGGCACACAAGCCCTCCATCCGATCCTTGGCTGTAAAATGAAGAGTTGGATGTGTGGCCTTAAAACTTCCATTTGTCTTAGTTATAGGTTGTGTCATTCTCTTCCTGACACCTGCCCCCTGGCTTCCTTGTATACTTAAATAGAAAACGGTTCCTGGGTATGGTGGTCTGTGAGGCTCCTCTGGCTGCAGGTCCTGCCTGGCTCTGATGCTACTGCTTGTCTTCTCTTTCTTGATCCCAATGCTGAAGTTACAAACTTTTCTGTTCTAGAAACTTCTTTGTCTAGGCCTTTATACTCATTGCCTTTGCTTGAACTATTCTGTTTCTGGTCATTCCTTAGTGGATCTTCTGGGGCTTCCTTCAGCAGGGATTCCAGGATCCTCAGTCTAAAAGTGGCCTCCCTGCCTGTACCATTCTAGCTCATTTCTGTGCCATGAACTTCACACTCATTGGCACTGATGGAATTCACTTAGCTTTTGTTTGCTTATTGTTCTCTGCTGTCTCCATGTTTATTCATTATGAACACCAAGAGGACTGGCATCAGGTTGACATGACTACAGCCCAAAGTAGCATTTGATATCTTGGTAAATGAATGGATTTACCTTATGTAGCCCAAAAAGTAAATGGAAAATATTGAGCACTTAGTAGGATCTTAAGAAATGCAATCGCGCCGGGTGGTGGTGGCGGCGGCGGCGGCGGCGGCGGCGGCGGCGCACGCCTTTAATCCCAGCACTCGGGAGGCAGAGCCAGGAGGATCTTTGTGAGTTCGAGGCCAGCCTGGGCTACCAAGTGAGTTCCAGGAAAGGCGCAAAGCTACACAGAGAAACCCTGTCTCGAAAAAACCAAAAAAAAAAAAAGAAATGCAATCGTAAAATGATAACTCATATTTAATAAGCTGTAATTATTGGCATAATGTCAAACCCTTTTACACATGACATATCATTTAGTTCTCATTATGACCTTATGACATGAGAATCATTATTATCTTAATTTACAGGTGAGATGCTGAATTTTAATTTACAACAACCTTAGGCTACACAGTGAAACCGTGTGTGTGTGTGTGTGTGTGTGTGTGTGTGTGTGTGTGTGTGTGTGTGTTTATGAGTATATATAAAACAGTTTTCCCAAGGCCATAAAGCTAGTAAATAAACCCAGATCAAAGCCACTCTAATTTTAATACAATGCCATTCTTAAATAGCTGGCTTCTTAGTAAAGTTGCTGCTGTCTTCACCTGGATTAATGAAAACACAAAACACTTTCAAAGAGCTTTACATGAGCAGCTGCCACATGTGTCCTGGGGGCTCAGTCTAGGTAAAGGGTTCCATTACCTAGGATATCAAGAGAAAGAATATGTCTTAACCAAGGGTTACCTTTGCTGTGATGAAACACCATGACTCAAAGCAACTTGGGGAAGAAAGGGTTTATTTTACCCACAATTCCATATAACAGTGAGTCATCAAAAGCAGTGAGGGCAGGAACTCAAGCAGGGCTGGAACCTGGGGGTAGGAGCTGATGCAGAGGCCATGGAGGGGTGCTGCTGACTGGTTTGCTCACCCTGGCTTGCTCAGTCTGTTTTCTTATAGAATCAGGACTACCAGCCCACCTCCTCCACCAATCACTAATTAAGAAAATGCCCTACAGCTGGATCTGAGGGAGGCATTTTCTCAATTGAGGTTCCCTCTTCTCAAATGACTCTAGCTTGTGTCAAGTTGACAAAATTTAGCCAGGAGAATATGACACACTTTACACTTGAACGGCTCAGTGTGTGGTAGAATGGATGTTCATGTCCCATACACTCTTCATTCCCTCCACAAGGAAAATCCAGACAACTGGAGGCTCTCTCTCTCTCTCTCTCTCTCTCTCTCTCTCTCTCTATATATATATATATATATATATATATATATATATATATATATATATATATATATATATCTTCCTCCCTCCCCTTTGCCCAGATGTTTACTTTACATCTGTTGCATGGTGTTTTGTACAGTCCTGTGTAGGATAGACTCTGAAGTCATGACTTACCGATGATGGCTTCAGGTGGCAGGTGATTAATGTGCATTCACTAGCTGAATTTGTACAACAGCTCTAGCTGGGTGTGATTATTCTCACTTCACCATGAACAATCAATAGCATATTGGGGAGGTGGGTTACAAACAGGTGGTTAGACAGTGGTGTCAGCTTAGAGCGCTGCACCATAGTAGAGAGATGGCTACATATAGAGCTCTAGGAGCCCTGAGAAGGGATGTCTCTCAGTCTCCATTGAACCTTAATACTCCAATTAATCACTATGAGACTATCCACTTCTTTCATTAATTATTGCATAAATCAGATGTATTTCTTTGTAACATATATTAACTATCTGTATTTGGGAGTAAATCAAATGCTTTCTCATTTTGTTTTAAAATTTTGTTCAGATTCATGATAAAGAATTTTTATTATAATAAGTGGAACATGATTTTAGTAATTTTTAAATAAGTTTTTTTCTGATCGTCATGATATATGTATATACACATACATACATGCATATCCCCCGGAGGTACATTTCTTCCCTCTAAAAAGATCTAAGCAGGTAAGTATTGTTTTTACTTTTAAAAACCCAATGTCAGTTTCTGGGAGCCAGTGAATGATGGCAGCCTGGGAGGAATGACGGCAGTACAACAGAGTTAGACAGTGACTGATCTACATGACTGTGCAAGCCATCTCCATCAGGAAAACCTAGGAGAAGGAAAATGCCGACCACCACTGTAATTAGAAAAGGAAATGAGTAAGAAATACAATACCTGAGGCTCTCTTGACTGTGCGAAGGCAGACAAGCAAGACTCCCCAGCAGGGGCTTGGCTCCCTAAGAAGTACCTGAGCTGATGAAGATTCCCAGTAGCTGCAACCCCAGTTGGTGGGGTCTGAAGTCTTGAGAGGTACTTACTCAAATCCGTTCCTGTTCCGTGCATGGCTGTGTTGAAACAGTAGGCTTCACAGGAAATGAGTGAGGGCCACGCAGCAAATTATGCGAGTCCAGTGTCACAGATCGAAGGGACACCCTGTGAATTGCACTTTGTAATGACCCAGAAATCTAAAATTTGTGACTGATGCTCCTTTGTCAAAAATTTCCCTTGACATCAACCTAAAGACTCATGTATACAGACGAACACAATCTTCTGAGTCTTAGAATAAGAACAAGAAGATCTACACATGCATCATGTCAATGTGTGACATTGGCTGAAACAAATGCACATAGATTCCGAGAACACTCAAAATGTCACATGCTAATTTGTCATTGTATTTACTCATAGATTTTAATATATATAGGTAACGTGATGTCTAGCCCCACCCCCACCCCTAACTGTATCCAGCTCAGTTTTAATTCTAAATACTATGGCCTCGGGTCCACAATAGATTCAGAAGTCTACGAAAACGTTCTCAAAGTCAGAATGGGAAAAACAAAGTGTTATGTGAAAAGGAAATGTTTAAACATAAGTGCACAAACGGAACACTGAGAAATGTGTCCCTGCGACGCCCTAGTATCCCTGGAAAGTCAGACAGCTGCCTTTCTTTCTTTTTTTTTTAAGTCATTTTGATCAAATTATTTTGTTTGTTTAGGCATTCCAAATGCTAATTCCTTTACCAGGCAGGGAAAGTTTTCATTACTTTGGAAGACTTTCTTTTTAAAAACCCGATTCCAAAAGAAAATCGATTTTTGAGAAGTGTTGATCGTGTTAAATTAACACGCAACTGGAAAGCTCGGTGCCTTGGGTTAATTTGCGGGGCAAGTGAGAAGCTGGAGGAGGGCGCCCTGGTGGGGAGGCCAGGTCGTCTTCCCGCAGCCGGGCAGCAGGGGGCCCCCGGCTCCCCGCTCCGGGCTCGGGGATCCCCGCTCAGGGCGCCTCCAAGACGCTCCCCGCCCAAGGTCAAACTCGGCAGCCTCGTGCGGGCCGCGTTCCGGGGGTTGGGCGACTCTGGGAAGCGAAGTCGAGCTCTGTGGGCTGGTGGCACAGGCTGTGCGCACAGTGGGGACAGGGATGTCGGGGGGCCGGGGATGTGGGTCGCCGGCGGCCGGGGAGGCAGCGCCGCGCCCGGGAGGGGTGGAGAGCGCACGACTGCGGCAGAGCGGGTCGGACGCAGAAGCGGAGACAAGCCGGAGGGCGCCCCGCCCCGACCAAGCAGCGGGAGCCCCCGGCTACCCAGGCCTCCGCCTGTCACCTCCATCCGCCACCTCCACCGTCTCCTCCCCTTGCTCAGGTCCACTCGGTCCCTCCCCTGGGCCGCCCAAAGCACCAAGTTGGCGGGAGCCTATAAAAGCCGGACCGTGCGACCCGCGACACATACTGCAAGACCGCTAGTCACAGGACAACTGCTGCTCTGCCCCAAGCACCGGCGCGACCATGTCCCACCACTGGGGATACGGCGGGAACAACGGTGAGTGCGGAGGCCGCGCGCTCCGGGCCGCGCGCTCCCGGTCTCCGCTCAGGCACCTGCCTAGCACCGCGGCTCCCGTAGCGCAGCCTGGATGCCTGGGTCCCAGCAGGGTCCCCGTGCTGGGATGTCCCTGGCGCCACTCGGAGCGCTGTCGAGGATCTGATCTCAAGCCATCCCGGCCGCGCACAGGGGCCGGGAGGGACAGCCCAACGCAAAATCGGAAACAGTACCTATGGGGACCACAGCTGGTCACCGTATGCAAACCCAGGCAGAATCGCACAAAGATTGTTACGAATATTTTAGTTGTAGGTCACAGGAAGATTAAGGGGCGGGGGCGGGGGGAAGTGGCTCTTGTCCCCTTCGCATCACTCTCTGCCGCACCTGTGGCTAAGATTCCAAGCGTACTTTGTCATGGCATCTTCTGGAGCCAGTTTAAATCTAATCGCGCTGGCTCCAGAGTTTTCCATTCATTTCTCAACTTCCAGTGTCCTCGATAACCGGACGTCTTCCTGGTCACAGACCTAGGTGCCTGAGGCCAGCTGAGGGGAGAGGAAGATGCACCTGGCTCGCGGTTGAAGTGTGTGGGCTCCCTAGGAGAGAGAATTCTAAAGGAGGTGACTGTGCCTGAGCCTTGGTCTGTACTGTCACCTAGTGTGACAGCAGGAGGCATCCAGATCTGTTATAATGTCGTGGGGAGAATACATATCCCAAACTCAATCGCAAGAGGATGTATATTCCCAGCGAGACCACATCCCTAACAGCAGTTCTGTCCAGTTTTAGTTATTGAATTTGGGTAAAAAGACCTCAAAATTGTTTATGTTTCTGTTAAAAAAAAATAGATGTGTATGGATTCTAATTTTCACACTGACCTTTATTAGGAAGACTTGAAATATTATTACCTGATGTTGCAAATAAGGAGACTAAGGCACTTTTTGTTTTTGTAAACGTTACAGTGCTATTAAGTATCACCTCCAAATTTGAAACCGAGCAGACTTTCTCTAGAATTACTGGTGGCTTCTAGTGGCTAGTGTCTCCTTTCCCACACTGATGACTTCACAGATGGATGTCTTTTCACCCCCAGGACCAGAGCATTGGCACAAGGACTTCCCCATTGCCAATGGAGAGCGGCAGTCCCCGGTGGACATTGATACCAAGACTGCCCAGTATGACCCTGCGCTTCAGCCTCTGAGTGTGTGCTATGACCAAGCTACTTCCAAAAAGATTCTCAACAACGGCCATTCCTTCAACGTTGAGTTTGATGACTCCCAGGACTGTGCAGGTCAGTATTTAAGAAATACTGGGCCTTTTAGCCAATAATTATTTTCTATCTTAGTGGAAGATACAGGGACACTGGCCGGAGGCCCCTGCCACCACAGTTTGTTTCTGGAAGCCAAGATGTCACTCTGATTTCTTCCTTAGGTTCTAGAAGTAGGCAAATTACTTTGAACCCTCCTGGGGCTGTTTTCTACCTCGTCAGATTGTGAGCTATGTAGGGCATCAGGCAATGTGCCTGCGAGAATTCACAGAAAGCAAGCCAGGTCCTTAGCAATCCAGAGACCAGGGAATTCACAAAGCCTTTAAACTTTTAAGATTCTTTAAAGTTTTAAAACATTTGTCCCTCTGAGTTGATGATGTCTATCCTAGAGAAGTAGGTCTTTGCTGTCTTCAAGTCAGCAGCATGGAAAGTGATGAGTCTGATGACTTAAAATGTAGACGTTCCTGGTGAATATGTCAGTGTCGGCAGAGCATGGTAAAGGTACCAGTATCTTATTCAGAAATTTATTCCACAAGTGAAGATTTTTCAGAGTTGGTTGGATATGCCTAGCCGGTTACTGAAAAACAGTTACGATAATTTATTTGTAATAGGGCCGTTGACAGGATGCTGGTGAATGCTTTTCTTCTTTATTTAGAAAGAAGAGACTGATCCCATTTAGACATAGTAACTGTCTTGATTGCTCACTGGCTGATTTAATTGCTAGTGTCCTATTTTCCTGAATGTTTTCCTTTGGAGGTCACTGAATGAAATGGGTCTGTAAATGCATTATGTTTGGTGGTTTGGGGAAGGAGTTGTGTTAGATGAAAAGGCAAAGACAGGAAACAGCTACAGTTGCAGTCAGAGTTGGAAGTAATGACCATGCTAAATGCATGCATATGATGTGTAATTAAAGCATTCTAATCAGGTTGACCATTGTTTCACTAGCAGCAGAGAAACCACAAATACTTCACACAGAATCAACAGTTGAAGACAGGCGCGTTTATTGGGGGATGGGGAAACATACATATGCAGCAGACACACAGAGAAAAAGACCCTCTGCAAGAAAAAGAGGAATTGAGAATGTCAAAAAGAAAAAAAAAATCTAGTCTTTTCTCGAGAGCAGGGTTTTTTAAGTCTCTGAAAGATTTTCCTCCCCTAATCTAGGGTTGGTCAGTTTGAAGAAAGCTAGGATGGTTGATTGGCCCAGAACTGTTGTGTGACTTGTCCTGAGCAGCCTTTGGAACTTGTTGAGTCAGTCCATCAGCAGGGGGCCTGCTGGTGGGAGACAGAAGTCTTGCAGAGCCTTTGTTTTAAGCTTTTATCTCAAGTCATGAGGGAGGTGAAGAAGCTGGCTCTCTTGGAAATTCGCCACCTTTATTACCTAGCTGTGCCCCCTCCCCTTCTCTGCCTTACTAGGAATCTTTCTAACTCCTAGTCTGTCATCATCGCTAACGTCAGTTCATGCCTCATAAGATAAGGGTCATGAGGGCAGTTGAAGCCTGATTTCTTTCTTGTACCCTCAGAGTCCAGAATGTACTGAAGATATCTAAAATCGAAGGATATAGAAATAACAGGCCCTGACTTGCAAAGAACCTTGATACATGCAAAAATAAACTGTTCAAGGAACTGCAGGCTCTTGATATGGGATCCAAGGGGTCATTGGAGTGGATAGTTTGATGTAAGAATTGTTTGAGGAGAATTTAAGACCCTAGCACCGGAAACAGACAGCATGAAAGTGTGTGTGTGTGTGTGTGTGTGTGTGTGTGTGTGTGTGTGTGTGTGTGTGTGTGTGTTGGGCGGGGTGGTCTAAAGAGAGAAATCAGGGCTTAGGTGGTACACATCAGGGTTTCAGAGCTTTTGGAGGATAGGGTAGAGGGGGTGGTTTCATAGCAGGAGCTTGCAACCAGGCTCTTGAAATCCCAGGCAGGGAAGGGGCTGGGGAACAGGATATGTGGCTACCAATACTTCTTTTGATTTAAACTTATTCCTCAGGTGGGAATTCCTGGCATTTGGAAGTCTGTTAGCTAGAGACTCACAGACAATGTCCCCAGTTGGGTGTCTATCAATATCTGTGAAAAGGAAGGCTGTCACTTTGGTACTTGAAAAATGATGTGGTTCTAGGGACAGTAGAAACACAAAGGAGGCTTCGACTTCCACATGACACCTCAGTAAAGAGTTTCCAGAGTAAATAAGGGTCATTCAAAGGAATAAAGGGTTGGGGTGTGTTGGAAGAGACTCCAGCAAAGGGAATTAGGAAACTCCAGGGGGTTAAAGAGAGTACAGGATGTGTGTCTATGTGCCCTAGATAGCAGAAAGGTCTAGGAAAAACAAGGGTCACAAAGATTAGAGCGAACTGTTCTCCCTTGCTGTGAAAGACTCCTTTGTAATTTTCCCAGTGTCTCCTATCTCCTTCAGTGACTTTGGTCAAACAAGAATCTAGAATGTATTAAAATGTTGATATAAAAGGAAAACCCACTTACAGAATAAGTTAAAAAGTAATTAGCCACATGGAAAAATACCCTTTAGATTTTTCTTTTTAAGGATTCTTAGATTCTCAGAAGTAGAACAAACAGTAATAATGCTATAGTCAGCCCACAACAATGAAGAAAGAAAGAATCACCTCCTGAAGTTTGTCCTTGTCAGCACTACTTTCCTGGAAACATTAACTAGTGGACTGAAAAAAAAAATATATATATGTATATATATATATCATTATATTATGTGTTGTATATAAATATATGTAAGAATCTTCAAATGATAAGCATCTTCAACATTTAGTTGTACATACCATGTTTTAAAAAACTGATGTAATTTTACTGTACACTTAATTCTAAAATGAATTCATTTTGGTTACTTGATATTTGAAAATTAACACTAAGGAGTCCCTGTTGGGCTGTTTTTAATTTCTTATGTTCTGCATTTAAATGCATCAGTCATTTACCCGCACCTCCACCCCCACCCCGACACTGAGATCCAAGCCTTCTAGAATTTATCTTAATTCTGGCCTTGCTGTATGTTCTGAATGTTATCTTACACACAGACTTAAGTACTTGGTGTCAGAAACTGAGCTAGCTGAATTTGGTGTTGTCTGTTTTACCCACAGGTAATTTCTTTAACACATGGAATTAATAGGTCTTAATCTGAAGTCCACACTAAAGTTTTCAAAATTAGTTTAAAGCCGATAATCTTAAATTAATGAAATATTGTTAATAATCCTTTTAAGTTCTTTAAAAAAGTATTATGAAGGAATAAACTTCTGCTTGAGATATTTTCCTGCCAGCTTTTTCTGGTACAAAAACAGTCAAAGCATTAATTAACCACTGCTAACTTATTAACTTTTGTTAATAAGTTTAGAACTCTGTGCTTTATTGCAAAGTTACGGGAGAATATTGAGAGCAATGTTGGAATTATTGGGTCAGCTCACAACATTGTATTCATCTCAGTCAGCTCTCTGTTTTTAAAAACAGAAACGTTTATTTGTTTATGCTAATTCAAGAAGAAAGAAGGAAGCTCGTGGTTCCCTGTGTGCCTTTGAAGCCGACCATTGTCTGGATAACATAATGGGGCTTTGTACATGGATTCTGTTTAACTTTACAGAGACTTAATTTTGAAGCTGTAAATTTACCTTCCACAAGCCATCATAAGCAACCAAGGAGGGGCTTTCCATGCATGTGGTCAATGATGTCAGCAGAATCTCTAATACCTAGGACACTAAGCCATGTTTCCTAAGCACGCTGAGTAGTGAAACTCTCTCCTAAAAGGGGTCAGGCTTAAGCCTAAGTAATCCCTTTGTAGCTTAAACTAAAACTTCTGCACACTTGATTTTTCATTGTGCTACTCTAATGAAGTTGATAGCTAAATGTTTCATTGTTTAGAAGAAATGGAATATGAGCACCCCTTGCAGATATATTTGCAATACTATAGTCCTAGGATTATTTGCTACTGTTTAAGGAAAAGTATGCATAGTTTAAACAGTAGTAAAAATTGCAAACATGAATTAAAAAAATTCAGGGTATTTGTGGAGAAAAATGTTCAGGTATTAACATTGACATCTTATCCATGGAAAGTTTTTCATTGAACAGGAAATCACTAAATGTTGGTTTATGAACAACATATTGGGGATGTTTACTTGTAATTTGGGATTAAGGGTGATTACTTTTCCCAGTGGTCTTTAGCTTGTTGTTCAAATACATCGTAATTAGTAATAGTGACTAGGAAGAAAAACAATGAAAAATGGTAAATTTTCTGTTATTTCATTGGAGTTTCAAATTAATTTCAGTAGTATAGAATCTCCTATTTTAACAAAAATATAGTTTAGTAAATTATCCAGGTATTCAGTATAAGAAGACATTATTATATAGTGTTATGTGGTATTTATACTGTTTATCTGATAACAGATTATAAAAGTTAAAATTGGGACAAGTTCTGGTTTTAAGAGTTGAAATTTAGTTCGAGGCCAGCCTGGTCTACTAAGCGAGTTCCAGGAAAGGCGCAAAGCTACACAGAGAAACCCTGTCTCGAAAAACCAAAAAAAAAAAAAAAAAAAAAAAAAAAAGAGTTGAAATTTAAATAAAAATTTGAAAGTCTTGAATAAACAAGTACAGAAAGGCCCTTTCTTTGTCTGCCGCCTGGTGGAACAAGTTTCTCTGGCACAGTGAAGGCATGGACTCCGTGGTACTGTTCCCCGCCTGGATTTTTACAGAGAATAATCATACAGCCAGTAATTTCTACTACCCTGAAAAAAATGTTTTTGTAGGAGAAAAGCAGGTTTCATTATAAACCAATACAGTTTTTAAAATGGTGTATCACAGTCACAATAAATAAATATATTTTGGAATATAGTGTAAGCTATATTTAATCAAGTGTTGTAATTTCTATTTCTTAGACAAAGTGACACATGTTGTATTTATCTGGGATAAAGGCATTGTAAGATTCTAATGATGCTTTTAAAGAATTTAATCAACTAAACTCCATGCTAACAATTTTTGAAACCAGAACTGCTGCTGTCTGTAGCAATTTAATTCTAAAGATTTAATAACCTTTTCTAATCACAATCGACTTCTAATCTACATAGCAACAAGTTTTATTTTAATGTGGATTAAAACAGCTGTCTGTCTAGTGTTAAAGGTTACTACTGGGTATATTTAATCATTGAATCATTTCTTCTAGTGTTCACAAAGCCTTTTAAAATAAAAGTGTATATGCACTGAAAACATTTGCATTTAAAATACTTAAAACAAGTGAAAGATGATGCAATTTCAAGGTCTGAAAAGGAGGGAATAAGAAACAGTGGGAAAGCATGGTCACTTTAAAATATGAGATGGTGATTTGATTCTTCTCTGGGGGAAAGCGGATATACTTAGATCGGTAATGCCTGATGCTCAGGATAGTTTCATTGAATTGGATTTGCCCCTTGGCTGATCTAATGATACTATACATTTGCTGCATATGACTGGTCAGTTGATTGTGAGCTTTGAGGAGTCAGTGTAAAGAACTTTTTCCCTTGCACTAAATTGCTTCCTAAAGATGGTTTCACTGTTAAGTGTCTATTTGTGATGGTGCATGCCTGGTTGGGTTGATGTCCCTGGGAGGCCTGCTCTTCTTCTCTGAGGGGAGGTGTGTGGTGGGGTGTGTTGGGGGAGGTGTTGGGGGTGGGAGGTGCATCTGGGAGAGAAGGGGGGTGGTAGGGAAAGACTGGGAGGAGGGGAGAACTGAAGTCAGGATGTAATATATGAGAAAAGAATAAAAAGGGGAAAAAGGGTGTTCTTTCATTTCTGAAAAAAACCTAGTGTGGGGCCTGGGCTTAATCCTTTCCTTGTGGTCTCATCAGATAAATAAACACAGTAGCTTCTGTGCTTCAAGAGATACAATCTTAGCATAGTACACATGAGTTCACATTTCTTCACGTATGTGTAATATAACACCGTTTATGATTCATTCTTTCTGTTTTCATTCTTCTTATTTTCTCTTGGCCTATTGGAAGAGTCAGCAGCCAGTGATTGCTTAGCTGCCGTGGAAAGGCCACACTGCATATCTCAGCCGGTTTCACCCTTTACTTTGAATAGATGAATAGGTCTTGCTACCGGCCAAACATATTTAAGTGAAATGAAGCAAATGAAATTTATTGTACAGACTTTGCCCCTATGTTTTACAAAGCCACTGTGGATTTAAGTTCATTATTTTATAGAATTATAGTCCAAGGCCAGTAAAATGTAAATAAAGCAACAGATGCTTTCATCCTAGAAAAATCAAATAGTAGAACTGAGTCACTTCTGAAAACATTTAACTGTATTGTTTAAACGGCATAGATACATACAAGTAAGGTGAAAGTTTTAGTTTGATTCCATTGTAATCCTCTTTCAAGACACACTTGTCAAGTATCCATAAAGGAGGAGTCCCAGCATGTGGCCTCTAGGATGATTTATTGACTAAAACAAAGTTAATTCCAGAATAGAGAATCCGGAATAGTTTCTGTAGTTAGAGTTTTAGCTTCTGGAAAATAATAAGGGACATTGCACTGCACATAGAGATGATAGATATTAATGATATAAATAATTGAATGACACATATTACAGATTAGGAAGTTCCAGACGTTTGATGAAGATTTTCAGGGACAAAGCCAGTTAGGCACAGTTAAGTTTTAAAATATTTTTAATTCTTTCACAAATTCTGGTGTTTGGACTGGCAAGATAATCTTTGGGCCACATGGGGAGACGAGCCCTTGGGTTCACAGATCATTCCACTAGGCCTTTCAGTAATCGTACATTAAGTCTCTCTCTGGACTCGAGAGTCTGCAGGAGACATACCCATGTACCCAGCCAAGATGGACAAGGCATCCATCCATCAGCTAGCACATAGGACAATAAAACACAGTTGGAATAATTTTGGTTAGTACTCTGAACTTAACCTGTCTGGATTTAATTTCTCTCTCTCTCTCTCTCTCTCTCTCTCTCTCTCTCTCTCTCTCTGTGTGTGTGTGTGTGTGCGCGCGCGCGCGTGCGCGCACGCGCGTTGTGTATGTGTCTACAGAGACATTACACTTATGTATTCTAATTTCAGTGCTGAAAGGAGGACCTCTCAATGGCACCTACAGATTGATCCAATTTCACTTTCATTGGGGCTCATCTGATGGGCATGGCTCCGAGCACACTGTGAACAAAACAAAATATGCTGCAGAGGTAAGATCAATTCTTTGTTACAGGGAAAAGCCTGTTTAGCATTAATTAACAAAGCTTAGTTTTATAAGTCCAACGCATGCCAAGTGAACAACCTCTTTGCAAAGGACCTTCACACTGGTTTCTTACACACTTCATTGCCATCCAGTTAAGTCTGTCAGAACAGCATTATTTTATTATAAATCCATAAATAAAATCTGTACCCTTTCTCCATCTACATTTCCTTGTCTTAGAGTTGTTCTCAAAGTGATGTGCTATTATATCAAGTATAACTAGAATTAAATCAAGTTTTTTTCTTAAAATTATCCACATTTTCTCTTTAATAACCTTTGGCTGTAAAGGGAAGAGTAGTCATTAGATAAAATCTGTTGGTTTTTTTTTTATCATGTGAATCATTTACTGTGGTTTTTCTCCCATGACTTTAGCTTCACTTGGTTCACTGGAACACCAAATACGGTGATTTTGGAAAAGCTGCACAGCAACCAGACGGACTGGCTGTTCTGGGCATTTTTCTGAAGGTTAGTTAATGACCCAGTTCTTTGTGTTTCTGCTTTCAAGAATTATTGGCCAGACAGAATATTCTTAACAGGAAGAACATTCTACAAAAATTTTGAGGAAATTTTTGGCACTGAAGTTTTTTTAGGCTTAATTCTCCCTCCCCGACTCCATTCTTTCCTTATGGATATCTGAAAGACACTTTGAGTGTGTCACTTAGAAGCCAGTTAGATAATAATGTGAAGAAAAGACAGGTAGATAAGCTGAATGTCACCAGTAGGACATGATTTGCTTTAATCAAACCTTCAGCTAACGTTACTACTTTATTAGCTTAGGATAGACTTGAAATGAGATCAAGTTCTGGTAAAATGGTGGTGGGGGTCTAGGTCAGGGACACAGTGTTGGCAAATATCAGGAACTGTGAGATCTCAGAGTTGAGCTGTCCCTAGAAGGTTGGAAAAGGGAGTGTAGAATACTCTGGGAATGGATGCTCGTGAGTAGTGTCCCATGCTGAGGAGGAAGCTATAGGAGCTCATGAACTCATCCAACGACAGCAGAAAGAGAAAAATGATAAAACTGCTCAGGACATAGTCCTGAAAATTTGCTAATGTGAGGCCTTTAAGCCCTGAGGACATGATTACCAATGATTGAAAAGAAACATAGAAGTCAAGAGATAGGAAGGCTAAAGGGTGTGGGAAAAGCTAAAAGACAATTTGTATGGGGTAGGCAAGAATGTGAATTCCTTTAAAAGCATCAACTTCAGTCAGCTCTTGAGTTCTTTCAGCTTAGCAGTTGGAGGTGATAGGGGGACATAGGACAAGGTAATTCAGGGGAGCAAGTTACAGAAGCAGAGGTAGGCTAAAGATTCAGTGACAGCTTTGTTGTCAATCTTTACTAGCCACGGATGATGTGTAGCATGTCTAAGCTAAGGAGTAGCTTCTCCTTCCTCTTCCTCTTCCTCCTCCTCCCCTTCTTCTTCTTTCTCAGGAATTTTACGATAGTGTTGCCAACTGACTCAAGGTTTTGTAACCCCTACTTTTCTGCAGATTGGACCTGCTACAAAAGGCCTTCAGAAAGTTCTTGATGCACTGGGGTCCATTAAAACAAAGGTAAATCTTTTCAATACTCTAGATTTTGAGATATTCTTTTGATCAGAATGAATAGTCTTATTGATGACATGGTGTTTGGATGAATAGTTCAGTAAAAGTAAATACTTGCATATACATAATAATATTTTTCCTTCTGCAAAAATGGATTCTAATTCTGTTAAATAGTTTGGCTTGTAATGACTTTCTATTAGAAACATACATACACAAGAACCAGAGGACATCAAGGAGCCAGAAAGATCATCTGAGCAAAACATCAGTGATTCACACAGAAGTGATTGTGGGAGGCTTGTTATGTTATGGTCTCTATACTAACCCCGGAGATCTAGAGATATATGGGTTGGACAAGCCTGCTCCATGGAGATTCATATTGAATGGCCTTAGTTCATCCATTCTGTGCTTAAACCTTCTGTGCAGCTTTGGTGTGCTGAGTTTTTTGGGCAACTGCTTATGTGCAACATTCACTCGCAGTGACTGGCCATCCCTGTGACAGGCTGGATGCACAAAGCTCACCTTCAAATAGCACCCAGCTTATGAAATGCACAATCTTTGCACCTATCTTGCTCCCCTTAAAAAAGGAGAAAAAACAGAAGTGTGAAATCTCACATTTCTACCCAGTTACTGCTTTGGAAGTGCTGTGTCCAGAGCTGAATATTGTGCTTTAATGTAGCTGTGAAATATCATAGCAAAATTATCACCTTATTATCAAAGATCCTTTATTTCTGTTAATATTGCAACCTAATTATATTTACCACTATAGTGGTAACAATATAACTTTAAATAAATGCCAGATATGATCAGCTAAGGGCAATGGAAAACTTAAGGAATTGTTTTAATGAAACATAATTAATTTTTCATGCTCCTGCTAGCCAATCTCTTTCCAAGTGAAATGTCTTCTGTTAGTGTTCTTCATTTGGTTTGTCAATAAACCTGGAACCTCTGTACAAAAGACTTCCAGTAAGAGCTGACTAGACCGGTGGATGATAGTCTCCTACTGTGGATCTGGTGTTGACTTTTTTCTGTGCATTTGCCTTGCAGGGGAAGAGTGCTGCCTTCACTAACTTTGATCCTCGCTCCCTTCTTCCTGGAAGCTTGGACTACTGGACATACCCTGGCTCTCTGACCACTCCACCTCTGCTGGAGTGTGTGACCTGGATTGTGCTCAAGGAACCCATTACCGTCAGCAGTGAGCAGGTTGGTTTCCTAGGGAGAGTTCTCATTTAGCAGACACAGAAAAGCTGGCCTTCCCAGTCTGGCCTGGGATATAATCCTCCTGTGACTTCTCATCCTGTGGCTAATGTCACAGAAATGCTTGGCAGTTAGTAAAGATTTGCTGTTATTACCATCACTGCAGGCAGTTCTTAAGCAGTTTAATCTATGATTGTTGGTTACTGTGAGGATTACAAGAGAATGATGTCTGCTTACTAATGTATTCCTTTTTGACAGCTAGGAGGAAATAGAGGCTTTGAAAAATGAGATTTCATATTGAAGGTTACATAGATATCAGCGATGATTCCCAGTCTCCTGCTCGCTGATGTAAGAGCTTAGTGAAGTCTTGTGAATGTGAGATGCACTTCTGAATTCTGACCAAGGTAGTCTTGACTTGGAGAACATGTATCTCTCAAAACATCCCACCCTAGCTTGCTTCAGAGGCTCAGATCATATGTTCCTACATTTTCTAAGCAATTTGTGATGTTTGAGTGCTCAGTGCAGCCCTCAAGTCACCTGTGAGCACCCATGCAAGTGAACACAAATGGGTTTCCCCCTGGCTTCCTCAGCATATGCTGAAATGTGGAAAACAGACATTTCTCAGGAATCACAAAAGGTCAGAGCCTGGTAATATAAAAGACAACTGCAGCCAGTTTTGAAGTGACAATTATTTGAGTAACTGTGTAATTTAAAACTGGAAAATTTTGAAATCCTGAGAGTTCAGACTTGTAATATGCAAGAGAGATCACATTGCCAGACTTTCTTATTTCACTGTCTGGAATTTGCTGATAAAAAAAACCAAAAAAAAAAACCAAAAAAAAAATGTAAGCACAGGAAAATGGAAGTGCATTCCACTTCGTCCCTTGGGCAGTACCAGGTATGGCTGGGAACACATTTTCTTTTCTGTGCTCTCCTTTAGAATATTAATGTATTAATGTTAAAAACAATTCACACCTGTTCTTTGAAGAAATCAATATACAACTAGAAAGTCACATGTATTATAATCAAAGTGGGCCACACAATGGTATGCTTGGCTGGAATGTGACTTGAAAGTTAAACTGGGAGTTTTAACAGTTGAGCAAGCATCCTGAAGTAGCACGAGGAAAAGATTAAAATGCCACTTCTTGCTGTAGAAGTGGTGTTTGAGATATGGTGCAAAACATCAGCATTCCTCTTATTTCTCCACTAAGTACAGCTGATGATATTTCAAAGTCTGTTATCAATAGCTGCTTTGACAGGTATATTTATTGTCCGCACACACTCTAGTGCCAAATACAGGTAAGTACGGGCAATGGATTTTCCCTTTACTGTAGAAATGATGTTAAGCTACAGATACGAATTGAGTGTTTGAGATTCCATAGTAAGGGCATATTTGCATATCATGGAACATAGGCTGGGAGGTCTTGTCTTGCTCAGCTCAGAGTCACAGCTCTAGTTCTTTCTCCAAGATTCCCTTCGCTTTGCTATGCTTCTTGGCTCTGTATAGCGGTGGTTGAAAAAACTCCAGACACACCACCTCTAAGGGAGCCTCCACTTGTTCCCTGTGACACAGAAGCCGTGTTCTAAAGATCAAAGATGCTCAGCAAATTCTTCACATCTCTCTGACTAGCATTGTGCCGCTTGTTCATTTCTAAGTTATATTCTAGCAAAAGAAAGTGTTACCATGAAAAAGTAAAACTTAAGGAATTTACCTATTGTGGCTTTAGGGGAAGACAGATAATGGTTTATGAGAAAGTATGAGGGCTGGGAATGGTTGGTAAATGAACAGTATAGACAATCGGTTATATTCTGCTATCTTAATTTTCTACACATAACCTTGTCTTTGAGTCTAAAATGATGCAACAAATTTACCAATATTTGAATATGATGTAAGTGATGGGAAGGGGCCATAAGTGAGCTATTTGTAACAACATTAAAATAAGTTTTAGGACTAAAGAGATGGCTCATTCTCTGGAGTGCTTATCTCAGGACCGCTAGGACCTGAGTTCAAACTCCAGAGAGCACGTGAAAAAGCTCAATGTGTTGGTGTTAATTTGTAATCCCAATGCTAGGGAAGTGAGAACTGATGTATCCTTGGGGCTTACAGGTTAGCCAGCCTCTCAGCCTAGTCAAGCTCCAGGCCAATGAGAGACCTTTTCTGAAAAGACAAGGTGGCTAGCACCTACTAAACAACATTCAAGGTTGATCTCTGGGCACATTCCCACAGTGCTGTGGTGTATGTTATAAGCAGAACTTTCCACGTTTGTGTCTGCCTGTGTCCATGTTGAGCCAAGAAACCAAAACAAGCTCAAAGGAGACTAAAACTCAGCCAGTTCCCAGGATCAGGGTCTCAGAATCTCAGTGCAACCTGAGTGTCTGAGTGTCTAAGCAGAGATACCAGCTACTCAGTCTTTCCCGGGAGCTCGTAGGCCTGGCCCTTTACACACTCGAGTACTTGCTGTACTTTGTCTTCCTGAGACAGAAAACAAAACTTTAATGTAGATCTAAAACTGGTATCATTGCTTTATGTGAGGTACTAATTTACAGAAATTTTGACTTTGATTTAAAAGGAAAACAAGAAAAGCAAGCTCACAGAAAATTTTATCAAAGACCCCAGTGGCTTCCTGTTGTCTACATAAATAGATTACTCATAAAAGCATACTTCCATCCTCTATCCACATGTAATGTAACTGTTTGGAATTCATGATAGTGTGAATATCGGAGGCTGCATTTACTTTTTATTTTGTGTGTGTGTGTG